AAACACCACCCCGCTCCCCTAGAGCCCTAGTATATTAAACACCACCCCGCTCCCCTAGAGCCCTAGTATATTAAACACCACCCCGCTCCCCTAGAGCCCTAGTATATTAATATTAAACACCACCCCGCTCCCCTAGAGCCCTAGTATATTAAACACCACCCTGCCCCCATATGTCAGACCACCGAGACACCTCCACGTGAGTCTCAAAAGGTGCTCACACGTCCGATAAACTGTGCGTGTCCTCCTTGAGGTTCAGTGTCCCAGAGTGGGCACATGCAGCCGTCGTTCATAATGTACGTGGGGGACATGACTGCCACGAATCTAGTACTAAACAGTACCGCTTTGGGTCACCTATGTCCTGTAATGACCATAACAATCTGAACCCTTGGGTGACAGGGAAACACTAGGATAATAATGATGATAGTTTTTTATTAGCATCCAAACAGAGAAATGAATCGAGAACCACAATCGCTGATGTCTATTTCAGATCTGGCTCCTTATAATGACACCTCTTAAGTACCTAATTAAATAGTGTTGATAGGGGCTTAAAGCTATATATACATATACCATTTTCAATTGATAATGATATAGAGGAATGGCGAGGTTCTTCACCTTTGCATGTGCAAGAAACAAGTTCGTCTCCCGTGAGGGGACTTTTTGATGGGGTAGAATTTGTTTATCGTGTCTACTAGGATAACGTGTCTCCCTCAGCAGCGGTTGGTCCGAACAGGCAGGGTTGGAGCAGCCTGCCCCCTAAATGTTCTAAATTGTGTGGATGAGAATGTAAAACATTTTCAATAACAATTGCCAAGTCAAAGTGAAAAATGTTTTGTTGTTGGTGTTTTTGATTTAGCAAACCCTGGAAGCTGCAAGTAAAAAATGGGAAAAACCTTTTTTTTTTTTTACCAATTCCCAAAGTAAAAGTGAAAAATGTGCTTTGTTTTTAAGTTTTAATTTGAAAAAAAAGCTTCTTTTCTTGAGAAAATATTGTTGGCCCAGTCATGTTGTGGGCCATCCAAGGTCACATGACGATGGTGTTGTTTACTGTGTCATTTTTGTCGGACATCCAAGGTCACATGACGATGGTGTTGTTTGTTGTGTCGTTTTTTGTCGGACATCCAAGGTCACATGACGATGGTGTTATTTACTGTGTCGTTTTTTGTAGGACATCCAAGGTCACATGACGATGGTGTTGTTCCCCTTCCTGAGGTTGGACGAGGAGACCCCGGGCATGGGCAGAGACAGCACATCGTTCGTGTTCCTGCGAGCCGTGCACTGGACGCAGCTCTTCGACGGGCAGCTGGTCATCATGATGGAGCACAGGGAGGATGTGTTGCCTGGGAGATTTGTCTAGCACGTGTTGTACACACAGGGAAGATGTGTTGACCGGCAGATTTGTCTGACACGTTGACACGTGTTGTACACATAGGGAGGATGTGTTGACCGGGAGATTTGTTTGACACGTGTTTTACACACAGAGAGGAGTGCCACTGACTGTAGTGTCTTTAGACCATTCCAAAAGAGGGGACATTTCTTGTTCAAGCACAGTAGAATTGTAAATGGGCTGACTCATGTCACGCTGATAACTGTGCCTGATCTACAACAGGGAACTGCTGCTTTTTCTTTCCTAATCCTTACTATAGTCATTTATCCTCTACTTCTTTTGTATGTTTGTCACACTCTTGTGACCCCCTATTTCCGGGGTGCCTTGATAGTCGAAGCAGACTTTGTGCTGTTGAGGCTAGAAAGGTGAGCAGAGTAAGTCTGATTCCCTGTAAGGCCTTCTCTGTTGACACCCACCCTTTTCGGCTCATATGACCTTATGCAGTTGCGAGCGCTGTAAACCCTCAACTAAAAAACCCCCAAAAAACACAGGGACCATGTGTTGTTGTT